TGAGGAGCTGATACCAAGGGCTCAAGTAGAAAGCAAACGTTTGAGAATGATGGCAACAAATGTACAAATGTGCTTGACATAATGGATGTATGTATGGATTGTGATAAGAGTTGTACGAGCCCCCAATAAAATGATTTTTTAAAAAGCACATCTGCATTGATGATAGCAGATTCAGCTAAGACAGCCTCTAGGATACTTATATAACAGTGGTGTGGTCCGAATGAAGGCAACTGTCTTCTATTTCAAATCCAGATAACTTTATTTGAACTGAAAGCACATTCTTAAAACTGTATTTAGCTAAGACCCTTTGATATGAAAAGTGTAACAGTACTTCTAGGTAGGATAGAAAGTAGTATTTCTAGGTTACTAGATTTGACTTTGGATTTTTTTTCCAACAAATTTTGGAAAAGTGCAAAAATAGAGTATTTATAGAAAACAATAGCTACGTATGTGCTCAATGGTATGGATTTGGTGACAGAAAGACTTAAGTACATGTTGGCATCTCAGAAGGAGTTCTCAAAAAGCTTTGTTTCATTTTCTTGGATTTTGGATTGCAAGTGTGTCTAAGATCCTTCTTCATCCTCAATCTTGGGAGCCAAATAGTACGTTAAGTGTCCCCTGTCTGTAATTTTGTATTCTACAATATGGGGCACGTCTGCAGACATACTGAGTGTTACAGTAGAAGAGAGTGGGGTGGCTTTTGTAAAGTTCAGGTATCTGAGTGCCAAAGTTACCTGAATTGCCTCATTTATCTCTAAAGTAACCGCCTCCTCCTCTTTATCAACATTACTTGTTTGCGACAACTTAATATTTCCATTTCCAAGTTCTCCACTTGCAGAAAATTTCACTCCCTCTTTCGCACAAGAAATGACAAGTGCATCTCCAATACGACTGAGATCTGGGCAGATGTGTGCGAGCTCACCAGTTCTCCTGTTCTGGAATTCCAAGTGGTTCAACATCTAAATCCATCAACTTCACTTCACAGTCTGAAACTTTTTTGTGGGTCAGTGTTTCAAATCCCAGTGTCAATGTGTCGGTGTTACTTTCCACCCTTAGTGTGATGATGTCCTCATTGCCAGAAACTTTAGTATTTTGGACATGCTGGTGAGGCTCACACCCATGGCCATGTTCGGTCACAGAGGTAGGTGCGGACACCCTCGGAGCACAGTCTGCTGCACCAGGGAGACATGGGATGAAGCCATGCTCTGCAGGTTCATGCCACTCAAGCTGATGTCCCAGCAGTCCTCATTGATGAGATCCTTGAGAGGCTCCAGCAACTTCTCAGGATGGAACCCTGGACCAGGCACGCCTGGAACATGGTGGCAAAGTCACCACGACGATGTGGCTACAGGTGCTGAAAAGTATGGAGGTCTAGCTGGCTGAGGCCTCACAGGATCAGAGAGTGAACCAGAAATTGGAGACCAAGAAGGACCACGACCACCCGGCTGCATCTGCAACTGTTCTGCACTCAGCTATTAATCTAAAGGCGTGGTTTACGTCCACCGAGTACTGTCTTGGAAGAAAGGCCTAGTGATCTACTCTAGTGATCGACTTCGGAAAAAGTGGCCATTGAAAATTTTATAGCATAGTTCCTCTGACATATACAGGGTTTCCAGGAGGTTTTAGAAGTCATTTCTCTTTCCCCATTCTCTCACCTGTCTTAGGAGCTCTGGTCTGGTAGTGTAGTGGTTACGTGTTGGGCTGCAATCCACATAGCCAGCAGTTCAAAACCACCAGCAGTTCTACAGGAGAAAGACTGGGCTTTCTACTCCCTTAAACAGTTACCATCTCCCCCCAACTACCAGGACCCCAATTCTGCCTTGCATATCTGG